CCCCCCCCCCCCCTCCCCCGGTCCCCGTCAAAGTTTTCTTCGCTCAGTCATCCCCTCCAGGTAAATTATCTTTATTATATAACTTCCAAGTGTAGTTGTGGGAGTAACTTTCCATCTTGCGAAGTTAGATTAAATATAAAAGGAATGAAAGAACCAGAAATTAAGTTCGCAGTCCGTGCCCCCAAGAATCTTCTGCATTAGCTTTTCGTACGCTGCGTGCAACTTTGGTGCACGGTCGCGGAACGTCTCGCGATTAAAAAACGTGTCGAGAAAACTCTAATGAAATCTTGAAGCACCGAAATATAGATTTCTCGGCGGAACGAAGATCACCTGTACGATGCACCGCAGCATTATTAACGTTCCTCTCTCCGTCGCATTGTTCTGTACGTTTCACCTGTTCCGGTCTTGATCTTCGTTCTTTACCTTTGCATATCCGCGCAATCTCCTCGCCCGTTTATCGCGCCATAAATGGGACGTAATAATAACGGCAGCTCGCACGAATTCCTTGGTTCGTTAATGCACCGGCCATCGGGTAAACTAGGTCTGGGCAAGCGCCGCTTAAGCGTTCCGCGAACGTTCCTCCAACCGAGTGAAATCTGCTGCCAAACCCCCCGCCCGATAATGTAACGCAACCGTTCCGATACGTTATCGATCCGAGTCGAAGGAGTCCGTTTATGGGCCAGCAACCGTGAACCACGGATCGAAGTGACATTAAGGAGGCGTGAAAGGCACGCGCAGGATTTACCCGGCTTATGGGCTCTAAGGCGATGTTTGCGCGTCAGCTTGTGTACACCGAGGCTTGCAGCGGGCAGACACGCTCGTATCGTCATCGATAATTGCTCGGCAGCACGTACATTAATTAGTTCGTGTTCGAATTGTCCTTATCCCATGGATTGGAGAAGCATCGGCCGGTTTTCCAAGGATTTGGAATTATCTCGGGGACAAGAACTTGGGGGAAGAAGTGCTCGGTCCCTGAAGAGGGCTGTAAAATTACATTCGCTCCGCGTCGACATTTTTCGGGCACATTCCGGGCACATTCCGGGCTTAACCCTTCGTGCTCGAGTGGCGACTCCGAGGCGTCGCTAAAATCGTGATATCGCGTTCCGAAATCATTTTTATTTTCAATCGATGTTCAGATTGCAAGGATCGTTAAATGGTGTAACCGTGTTGTACGAGTCGCAAGACTGAATTTCGTACGCGTAAAATGCGCTTGGTCGTGTAAAATGACAAGTACGAAATAAGTCGGAAAAATCACAGTTTAGATTCGCGGTTGAAACGGGTTCGAGCGCAAAGGGTTAAAATGGCATTGGACAGCCAGATTGAAAGAGGGCCACTGATGCACAGATAAGCCGAGAACTCCGATGTTGATCGAAATAAGGGTAGGAAACTTCGCGGAGCCATTACACGTGGGCAGTTTCTCGCGTTTTCATCTCGGAAAGTTGTCGCTTTTAGAGGGCCCCCCCCCCCCCCCCCCCCCCCCCCCCCCCCCCACCCACCACCCC